TTTGAATAGACCAAGAATAATTTTACATACTTAATTGGCAGAAGAAGTAAGATTTTGAAGATTTGTTTTAATGGTGGGGATGGTTAATGCTAAAAAAAGAGAATTATTTTGAGAATAATTCTCAATATTTTAGCTGAACAGTTTTATAGGCATCACTGATCTTCTGAAATATGAGAATACAGCAGCCAGTGAAGTTATTCTTTAAGTAGTCTGCTATACACCCCGTGGCCAGTCCCACTTGGTAATGATCCATATAGTGTGTTGTATATTTTCTAGTTTTCAAACTAGAAAATATACAACGCACTATATGGATGGTAATTCCATTGCAGTTGATCAAAATTAACATCATCATACATGGATACCTGCTTAAAATTGTACATTTCTAACTTAGATATAGTGAACTCAAACTGGATTAAAATCAAGTACTGTATGGGGTGGGGGATGCATCTTTGAATGTCTAAACTCCAAATTTATAATTATGTCTGAAGTGGATTTTGGCAGATCTCATCAAAATCTCCTGGATTTAGAAGTGAGTTTTGCCCGTTACAGGAATATATCAAGGAGGTACAGGTTAATTTAAAAATCATTAAAAGAATTTTGTCTATTATATAGCTATGCTTCCTTCTGTTGTCATAAATATGTTCTGTCTGGGAATCTGACATAATTGCTTTAAAGACTTGTGAAGAGATTATTTCCTCCTCCAATCTTCTCTTTCTCTCTCTTAAATCATGCTTCTATTGAGGAAATCAAAAGAACTGGCTGTATAGTTGCCTAAAATTGATATTTGAAATTATTCTTTGGGCAAGGTTGTTGGAGACTGACTAATGCCTTTATAACATATGGTTAACTTGTCCTTCAGTGTTCTTGAGTTATGTAAATGGTTTTCCCATACATTGTAGAGGGTTAGACTAGAAGATACTTGTGGTCCTGTCCAGCTCCACAGTCGCATGCTTTTCTTCACATACATGTTTTACAAAAGTTAAAGCAAATTCTGGTATTGTTTAGAATAGTAGCATTAGGAAAGAGAATGATAACTCATTTCTTCTATATGCAGACTCTTTCACCCCTTCGTATGTATGAAGCTGCACAGCAGGAGAAAGACAAGTATCTTCATCAGATCTTCAAGGCTATTATCAGCTTTAGGATAAGCCAGATAATAAAATGGCCAGTGAGATAGATTAATTCATCCTCTGATTAAACTTGGAGACCCATATACCTATGAATGTTATAAAGCGATAATTGCCAGGGGAAAGAAAACATTCTAATTATGTGTTTCCTATTTTGATGATTATTTTAATTCTGGGACACGGCTATGCTGATTTATAAATCTCTGGTTGGTTCTTCAAATCTTGACAGCTCAACCCTTTCAAAATTGTTTAACAAATACATTGCAGACATTTATATTTTAACCCCATGCTGTCATTAAGGATTACTTCTCTGAATTTATCAGAAAGCTGTAGGTCGGATCTTATTTCTTTCACAGATCCCATGTGGTCTGCAGTCTATTGTTAAAAAAAAAAGAACCAAAGGATTTTTTCTCTGCATACTCTGTAGACTCTATTTGCACAGTTACTAAAACCAAGTCGGGCAATTTTATCTTTACCAAACCAAAACAATCTGTTTAAAAAAAAAAAAAGCTCATTTCCTGCAAGTCCAGTGCCTGTACATTGATAAGAGCACAGGAGAAACTTTTCACTCTGTTCTCCATCCTGGAAAACCTCAGAGCAACACAGGCAAGCTAAGAATAGGCCAGCAGCAAAGTTTGTAAAGTCTGCAATTTTTTTAAAAAGTGCTGATATGAGATTGAGGCAAATTTGTGGTTGTTCCGTATGATGATGTGCTCTACTGTATGTGGGTGGTGCTTCCCCCCCCCCCCCCGCATGCCTCTATAACCCAGCAAAAGTAGAAGTGTGAGGCACAGATGAGAAAAACCTGGACAATTATATAGTAGCTTTTGGAGCTGGTAGTTTTCCTGGTAGTTTTTCATTACCAGGGAATTGTTTTCTTGCTCATCAGTGAGACTTTGCTATGAGAAAGAAGAAAGTGCTGGAACCAGATAAGGACTGTAAGGTATGGTGTAAAGATTCTGTGACTTGTATACGCCAATCAGTTGCTCCTAGAGAAGAGTTGTCATAAATAGGCATTTCTGGACCATCAATACAATTTGGTTTTCTTATTATCCAAAACCTAGTATTTTTGATATTAAATGGAACCTTGCTACTTAACAAGTGGTAAAGATGCAGCATAAGTTCAGGTTCACCCTGCATGAATATTGAAAGGGAGAAAAAAACCGGTTATAACTATAAAGGAGTGGTGACTATGCCGTAGCAGACACGCATATATAAAAATTATGTGTATGAATATTATTTTTATTAATTGAAACAGTAATTTGAATGTTACTCTAGAAGCTAAGGAAGACAGTGATGCTGGGTAGCTGGCTCGGGTCACAGACAGGCCCTTGGAACTGTGTCTTAAATCAACAAAGCCAACAAATTGGTTTCTTAGCACCAATATCAAAGGAGCAAAATCTTTTCCAAACTGCAGTGGTCTGTGTAATGGAAACTTAGACCTGGACCTTAAGATAAAGTGTTTCAGTATATTAAAAACAGCAGCACGTGCTTAAGGGATACTGGTTCTGATGTTCAAAACGAGCAGAGGGGTTAATCTCCTATCAAAAATAACATTTTTTTTAAAAAATGATTCCTTGGGAGGTTGGGCGCTTCTGTTTTAAATATATTGAAATATGAATAATATTTAGTTCTTGGATGATTTTTTTTATCCTGTCATAATTTGTGCCCTGACATCTGACAGCACCTGCATGCTTGTTTAAACAGATAGATGTATAATTGCATCGTTAAGAAAAGCAAGGTCAGTCTCCTTCATTGTAATCTTTAGGAAGTGTCCTTCAACCCCCTTACCTGTGGAGGCTTGTTTTGATTTGATTTTAACAAACATTTCAGTTGCCCTGTTTATACAAGGTGAACTGATAATGCCCTTTCGTTTCTTATGATGACAATCTATGTACTACTATTGTTGTTATGACTTTAACTGGTGTATCATAGGACAACAATTTTTGAACCAAGGTGCCTCGAATGAGCCAACTTATGAAATGTGTCCAAAATCTAGGACCCATGACTCTCAAGGGAATGAAATTAGGGGAAATTGTGAGTTTCAGTGTTACTGGCTGCTGCTGCACTGTTTGGCTGCTGCTGCTGCGATCACATGATCTACATTTTCAACGATTGGTGACAGTTTCCTAGCCAGTTTTGCAATCCATTGGTCTTCCCCCAACCCAGCAGTGCCCACTCATCTGCCTGCTGGTAAGGGGGAGGGAAGGGCAGGGAAGGGAAGAGAAGATTTCTGATGCTCCCTGCCAGATTTTCACAAGGAAATTCAATAAGGAAACTGGCAGGAAATCACTCCTGCTCCCACTACTATTTTGCCCTTGGTCATTCTGTTTCTCTGTGTAGGTAAGGAAATATTTCTGAAACAATGACCCAATGGGGTTCAGGTTATATAGTTATTTATAACAATTACAGATCAGTCTTATGTGCATATGGATGTATGAAATGTATCATATAACTTGTGACGTAGGAATTAAGTCAAATAGTCATTAAAGTTACATGTTTATTGGGCCAATTTTCTAATCAAGTGCAAGTAGTATTCATCAGTTACAAATTATATGAACTTCAGGTTCAAAAAACTTTGTAAAATAAGGATTAAAAACTAGTCTGTGCACAAATGTCCAGTTCTACTAATAATGAATTAGAAATATTTTGTGTCATCATGAGTGGCTGATCCCCCCCCAACTTCTACTTTCATGATTTTTAAAAGGTTTTATTGATGGCTTCCTAAGGAAGGGTCAGACCCAGCTTCCTTAAAAGATGTCAGGAACAATGCAACAATGTAGTAATCTCTGCACAAACTCACACAGAAGTCACTATCCTGGAAGTGTTTACTAACCAATAGGCACATAATATAATAATATAATATTAATAAGCAAGTAATTGTGCTAACAGTTGCTGTGTCCACTTCCTCAGTTCCAACAGGATCAAACTGCTCTCAGATAACAGGCTAAGTCCATGCTTTGGGCATCTGTTCATAGTTTGGTACAATATTTGACCTTATTTCCAGGTTTATGATGTCCCTTACTTGTGAACAGTACAAGCAATTTCATTTTTAGAGGACCATAAGTCTAGAACCGAGTTCTAGTCTACTGGTCTATAAATAAAATAGGTCAAGATTCTGGGGAAAACTTCATTAATATTTCCAGTGAAGTTGTTGACCCCAATGAGGATCATTAGGGCATTCAGTTTTTGCAGTCAGAGGCAATAGACACATTCACATTTTGCAGGAAAAGTGCTATAGCTTTTTGTCTAGCAATAAAAACCGAAGAGAATGGAAACTGATGATCTGAAACTAAAATCACAGTACATCTTTTAAACCTGAATCTTCCACAAAGTAACTTGCTTGGCTTTGCTATGCTAATTGACTCTGTTGTATTACCATAATAGGAAATATTCTATGTTCCTTACTTCCAGGAAAAGAAAAAAAATGAAATAGAGGATTTAAAATTGTTATTATCTGATGGGACTTGCAGTTATCTCAATTTTAAGAATTCAAAATATATCAAGAATTAGATAGCAAGAAATTTTATATACATTTATTAATTGGGTGATTAAAAAGCAATTTTTAAGATTAGGTGACTTTAATAATGTTCCTTCTTTTAACTAATTCAACTTTCCCCCAGCTGATTCCCTCAAGATGTGTTTAAGATTACAATTTTCAACATTTCCAAACAACAAAGAAATGTTGGATGTCCCAGTCTTAGCACATTTGGAGGGAACCACCAGGAAAGAGTATTGTAACTATTTTCCTTACTATTTCTTCCACTATTCTGTTCAATCACTCTAATGTTTGTTCCAGAGAAAGAAAAATATTTCTCAAAGCTTTACTTGTGTCTTTCTGTGTTTTTTTTCTCTTCCTGCCTCCTACAACAGTTGGACAAGGGGGATGTGAGCCAACTCAACCTGCCTTCCAATACAAGCCACAGTGATGCTGAAAGCAACATCTGTCTTGATGTTCCAGATGGCAACCCTGACCCACAGAGGACGAAAGCTGCCATTGACCATCTGCACCAGAAGATTCTTAAGATCACTGAGCAAATAAAGATTGAGCAGGAGGCTCGAGATGACAATGTAGCTGAATACCTGAAACTTGCTAATAATGCTGATAAGCAGCAAGCCTCTCGTATCAAGCAGGTCTTTGAGAAGAAGAACCAGAAATCAGCCCAGACCATTGCCCAGCTGCATAAAAAGCTTGAACATTACCACAAAAAACTAAAGGAGATTGAACAAAATGGGCCAACACGTCAGCCCAAAGATGTCTTCCGGGACATGCATCAGGGACTCAAGGATGTAGGAGCCAATGTTCGGTCCAGTATTAGTGGTTTTGGTGGTGGTGTCGTAGAGGGTGTCAAGGGTGGGTTGTCAGGTCTTTCTCAAGCAACACACACAGCTGTCGTTTCCAAGCCCCGTGAGTTTGCAAGTTTAATACGCAACAAATTTGGCAGTGCTGACAACATTGCCCATTTAAAGGACACTCTGGACGATGGTCACCCAGAAGAGGCCTCGCGAACTCTAAGTGGCAGCGCTACGCTCGTGTCCAGTCCCAAATATGGAAGCGATGATGAGTGCTCCAGTGCCACTTCTGGCTCAGCAGCTGGTAGCAATTCTGGGGCTGGTGCTGGGGGCTTGGGCAGTCCTAAGTCTAACACCTTGGAAAGTCATCATTATAACTTTGACACCATTGTAGAAGAACTGAGAGACATTAAAGACATTCAATCCCATCTCGAGGACTCCATTGAAGAACTCAAAGCTCAGCTGCAACGAGACTATACATACATGACTCAATGCTTGCAGGAGGAACGATACAGGTAAGGTTTATTAAATGTCTTCCTGTTCCTAATCAAGGGACAAATGCTCCTCAATGATTAAAAAAATGCCCTTAATTGTTCGTTTCTGGTAAAGAATCCCAGCAATGGAGAATAATAAGATGTTGGTTCCTGAGCGTGGGAGAGCAATTTAGCTGTAGATCTCACTTTACAGAGAGCATAGATTATGTATGTATATCATAAGCAAAATAAGTAAAATAAGCAAAAAACTACATATTAAATTGACACATTCTATTATAATTATAATTAATTATAAGATTCTACATATTAGAGGGATGCAGTGGCTCAGTGGCTAAGACATTGAGCTTGTTGATCAGAAAGGTCAGTAGTTTGGCAGTTTAAATTCCTAGTGCCGTGTAACGGAGTGAGCTCCTGTTACTTGTCCCAGCTTCTGCCAACTTAGCAGTTTAAAAACATGTAAAAATGCAAGTAGAAAAATAGAAACAACCTTTGGTGGGAAGGTAACAGCATTCCATGCACCTTTGGCATTTAGTCATGCCGGCCACATGACCATGCAGATGTCTTTGGACAGCACTGGCTTTTTGACTTTGAAACAGATGAGAAATGCCCCCTAGAGTCAGGAACGACTAGCATATATATACATGGGAACCTTTACCTTACCTAAATATGAACGAAGTTAGGGTAAATTTTATAGCAGGAATTATAACTTGTAGCCAGTAATAGTTTAGGGTTTTATCTTCCATCTTATAGAAGAGAAATGGGGAGCTTTTTTGGCCAAGAACTGAAGTTGCCTTTGGCTGATATATTCAGATCAAAATATGGAGTAAGAAGAAAGAACTATCAAGGGACAGGGAGAAAGCAACATTTATTTAACTTAAAACTACTTTAAGATGCAAATAATGCAGCCATTGCCCCATATTTTGCCTCATTTTCCTCTTTGTTGTATTAAAATTATAACTCGGTGGCAAGTTTTAGAAATTTTCTAAGTGCTGTGTGCAAGACTTGGTTGAGAAGTAGAATTTTGATCTGTTGGGCAAAACTGTTATAAAGAAACTTATGTTTAAATCGTTTTGCTAGTCTGTGCTTTTCTAATATTAGGGATACTTAGATCATAATCCTAGGCTTGGAAGTGAGTCAACAGAACTCATATTTATATGAAAAGCAGTTTACAAAATTGGTTTTACAAACAATTCAGTCACAAATGTCTACAGCAGATCACAGAAAACCTTTCATTGCCTAACAGATGATACAGGCAAATGTTAAATTAAGATATACCTTAGGCAAAAAATCCAAGAAACTGTCTTCCACCACTAGCCTTATAATGAGAATAGGCAGTCATAAATAATTGTTTATTATGTTGCTGGCTCATTCTGTCTAATAGTAGGGGCAGTCTTGAAACAGGATCAGAAATAATATAAAGGCACTATTTGGACAAACTTGCAAAGTGAGGCTTACTTCTAATTCATATGTTTGTACTATTAACCTTAAAAAAAAACCCAACCTTTTTTATTAAAAAACCCAAGCAGATACACAGTATCCCAAAGAGAATTTGACTTTTTTCTATCCAGGCAAAGGGAATGTTGCCGTGTACTGCATGATTTAGATGAATTTACATTCTATGCATGCAGACTATTCTATGTTAATTGCTAAAGCAAATCTTTGAGAAATTATTTCCCATTTGCTCGGAGAACAGATTAGTTGCAAATGAGAAAACTGATTTAAATCAGTGACTGCCACAGACCTCCCCCCTCCCCCTGGTGATTTAAATACATCCATCCTGTTTGCCTGATGGTAGTTTTGAAGAATTGGAATTTCTATATAAATTATCTACAAGAGGAAAGACACTCTATTAATTCATTTTTGTCTATTTATAATACATGAAAGGAAAGCCATTCCTGGCTCAGTACTCAACATTGGCTTTTTATCTTCCATAGATGGGAAGTTCAGAATCAAGCAAGCTTTCATTCTGGGCTCTAAGAGTTTTGTCAGTGAAGAAAGTGAAAGAATGTATTCAGACTTTTTTTGTGGGAAGGAGCTAATGAACCTAAATGACTGGATATAGTTGCAGAAATTGTGTTTTTCATGGATCAATTGGAGTTGGGGAGGAAAAGTTAAGCATTGGTCTTTCATAGTCTTCATCATTCTGACCCTCCACTATCATCATGACCGATCCACCTATGAATTAGAATTGGTAGATTAATGTGAACATAAAGTATTTTATCAACAGATATATAAATGTTCATATATAGATAGAATAATGGACACACGTTCTCTGCATGCAATCAGGAACTGTACAAAGTGTATGGGATGCTGAAATGGCCAAATAATTGTTCTCATTGGTTATTGTTATTGGTTATCAGTTATATTCTGCGTTTTTTTCCCTTTAAGCTCTGTTGAAAACAAACTGGAAAATTTCCCAAAATGTTCTGGAAATCAGTTATCAGTAACAGCAAGGATGGAAATAAAACTCTTTGTTCCCACAAGCAGACTTCAGAAGAGACATTCCTTCCTCCCACACTTCATTTGTTTTCCACTCATTTACATCTGCCCTATGTGAAAGACTAGGAAAGACTTAACATTTAATAGGGAAAAAACCCTAAGGAGACATTAGAACTATATTTATTTTTATAAATTTATTCATACCGCCTTTTAATTTATTTATTTGGTCTATTTTATATTCCCAGAATAGTTTGAATAATAAAATATGAGTATCAAAACAGCCTCAACATCATAAACACAACATAAAACAATAATCTGAATTAAAAAAATAAATAAGCTGGAAATAACCCACCGGTAGCATAAATAAAATGAATAAAAAATAAATAGGAGCTGGAATAAAATCAGCAGTAACAATAATCTGAATTAAAAATGTATCTGAAACCTTAAGAAAATAAAAAGGTCCATACCTAGTACTGGGGGGAAATGATATAAACAGGTTTTAGAGAAAGAGAAGAGTCAGAGTCAGAGATTAGAATAAAACTCTATGAAGTACTGCAGTAGGTTGTGTGTGTGAGAGAGAGATTCAAAGTCACCTAATGAGCGGCAAGGATGAGTAGGGACTTAAACTAATCTTATGTATTACAATACACAATATACTAACACTGTATTACTATTATTCTTCTCTTCCTAGTATCTATCTCTTCCCACCTATGACTATAGCCATGTTGTTTGTATCTTTCAATTTATATAGTTTTATTTGTTTACTAGTACGATTTGATAGCTTATTAGTAACTTGACTATCACTAAATGTTGTATCTTTTTATTCTTGATGAGTGTGTTTTATTATCCTCATGTACACTGAAAACATATGCACCAAAGACAGATTCCTTGTGTGTCCAATCACACTTGGCCAATAAATCATTCAATTCAATTCTATTCTATTCTATTCTATCCTATTCTATTCTTGCCTTAGGTGTCATCACTAAGAAAACACATTTTTATATGCAGTAGCCATATGTCTCACTTTGTCATATGCAGGAGACCTTTTATTGAAGAATTTATGATGTAAATAAATAAGTAATGTATTTACTTTTTATTTCCAAATAAGCATGCATAGGCTCAAATGTTAAAATGTATAGTTTTAAATCATGTACCACCCTCATACCATCACAGAAGTCCTTGGGGGAAGGACATAATTAGTATAGCAAGAAGCAAGCAAGCAAATAGTTTCCCTTTCCCACTTTCAATATTTTGGAGAAAAGGAACTTGAAAATATGAATTAGGAAGCCCATGTTTATAATTCTGTACATAATACTAAACAATTATATAACAATTATAAAACTAAATAATTATAAAAAATTATAACAATTATAGCTCATCAGATATACAAAGATCAGGTATGCTTTTCTATGTGGTGTTAATTTACTCTTGAGTTACATAACATAACCATCTCATTTTCATTTGCTGAAAAGAAACATGATGCCTCTAGTTATTGAGATTTGCTACTTTGAGGGTGATGTGCCGGGTATAGGATTGGACCAAGAAAGAGTAAAGTAGAAAAAGCACTACTGAAAAGAAGTGGAAAGGCAATTACATTAGTCTTGCATCTTAAAAGCCACATTTTCTCTACTTAACGGTTTTGGGATCTACTTTAAAATCTATCACACTGATAATGTCAGTATAGTCAAAGTCCACTAAATCCACTAAAGGTGAAACTTAAAAAATTAGAATATTGTACAAAAGTTAATTTGTTTCAGTAATGCAACTTAAAAGATGAAACTAATACATAAGATAGACTCATTACATGCAAAGCAAGATAGTTCAAGCCGTTAAGTAGAGAAAATGTGGCTTTTAAGATGCAAGACTAATGTAATTGCCTTTCCACTTCTTTTCAGTAGTGCTTT